TATCTGTAGAAATGATGAATTATATCAATTTATAAAAGAGGACATTGTTTGTAAAGTTCCAGATCCAATTCAGCATGGTGGGACTGCTCGAGTCAGTCGTCACTTGGTTTTTCCCGTTGATTTGACAATTTTTAAAGATCTTAATTAATGTTAATTTTTATTAAAAATTATGAATTATTATATCCAATGTGTTTTAACGAGTTTTTTGGAGGCAAATGAACATCAAATCATATTGATTTATACCTAGGATCAATGTACCCCATGGGAGGGATCATGGTACCCCGTATATGGGGTGCTTTGATCCTTTGTAGGGGTTGTACCAAAGTTAAATTTTTTTTTAAAAATTTCTTGTATTATACAATTGAAACTGAACTTAATACATTAAATGAATGTTCCTCTGTAAATTGCACAAATATTAATATTCACTTTTTGGTTAGTTTCACTGTTGTTACAAAAAAACCTCAAAACAGATCAATGTGCCCCCATCTCCCCTAATTAGAATAAACTCTTTCAATCAATGTTTAAATTTTTATATTGTCATTTATTCTTTCGTTTTTGTTTCTGTACTAATTTTCGTGTCAGATAAAATAATTTAGTTTTTAAGTAAATTTTCATTTTCGTAGCTATACACAAACATGCCTGCCTGTTGCATTAAAAATAAATAAAATAGAAATGAGAAGATTTCTGATGCATCTTTTCACAGGTTTATTTTCAAAAATTAACTTAACACTAAAATAAATGTAACAATATCCCTATACTCATTGAATAGAACTATTTTGTTTTACAATTACATATATTTTATTTTATAGACTATTATAATTTATAATGCTATCATTAATAATAAAAGCAATACTTAAGAAATGCACAAGTTTCTGTAACAGTTTATAAAATTTCAGATTTCCTCAAAATGTAAAAATGCAAAACGATTGGATTAAGTGCATCTGACAGGAAATAAATGATTTCAAATGGCTTCCATCAAAAAATGCAAGAATATGCAGTGACCATTTCTGTAATAAAGAGTATAAGGGTTATGATGGAGAAAGGAAGGTAATGCTGAAGAAAGCATTCCCATGTGTTCAAGTTAGTTATATTTATGTCATCAGTTACACAAGGAAGCAATTCACATCATCATTGTACATTGCAACATTCTTATCTATACAAAAAATATAAAATGCATTCAACAATATTCCATGTATTTTATTAAAACTTAGAAAGGGCATAATGACATTGTGAATAATAAACCCTGCTTAGGACTGGGATCATCATCATCATACCAATCACCATTACAAGTAGAGTCAATTTTATATTAATGCTTAACAAGTTAACTAAATTGGCATAATCAAGTTTTTATATGAAATACACATCAAGTATTTAATGTAACAAATAAATTAACAGAAAAATTTCTGGAAAAGTTTAAAAAAATTAGAACATATGACTCTGATCAAAAATTATTCGC